GGCTTCGAGAGTTGAGGCAAGAGAGAGAAATCATCTCTGTGAACAGGAAAGCCCTCCCGTCGGGAGCGGCTAAGGACCCTAAGTAGACTGAATCTGACAGGCAGGGATGGGGCGAGGAGGCTTGGAGGGAAGGGTAATTCCAGGCAGAAGGAACTACTGGAAAAAAGCAGCAGAGGTAGCAAAGCTTAAGATGCTCAGAGAACGTCAAGTGGCCCAGCTTAGCTGCAGTCTGCCTAGGGAAAGCAGTCTGGAGAAGTAGGTTGCTGTTAGAAGGTTCCAGAAACAATGTGTGTGTATGTTAACATATTGGTATGCAACAGAAATTTTGGGCTGGTATCAAGATCCTCCAGCTTCATATTGTTATTTTATGTATATATATATATATATATACATTATTTACATATATATATTTACATACATATACTATATATATATATATATATTTTTTTTTTTTTTTTTTTGAGACAGAGTTTTACTTTGTTGCCCAGGCTAGAGTGAGTGCCCTGGCGTCAGCCTAGCTCACAGCAACCTCCAACTCCTGGGCTCAAGCAATCCTCCTGCCTCAGCCTCCTGAGTAGCTGGGACTACAGGCATGCCACCATCATGCCTGGCTAATTTTTTCTATATATATTAGTTAGCCAATTAATTTCTTTCTATTTATAGTAGAGACAGGGTCTTGCTCAGGCTGGTTTCAAACTCCTGACCTCGAGCAATCTGCCTGGCTCCCAGAGTGCTAGGATTACAAGCGTGAGCCACTGCGCCCAGCCATTATTTTATATATAGAAAAGGAAATTAAAGGATCAATTTACTTTCCCCAAAGTCAGATAGCTAAGTCTGTAAACAAGCCAGGATGAAAGTCTGGATGTTTTTGTTTATTACTCAAGTCATCTTTGCAGTAAATGTTTTAGTCTTTTAAATACTCCTTCTCTTCTGGCCTAAATTTTAAAAATTTTACTACTAAATATAAATGAACTGTTACTTTCTGAGCTCCAGTTATTTGTATTCAATATTAGCTACCTATCTGGTTATAGCTTAGACACACACACAATAAATCTTTTCATAAAAATTCTTAGTGGTGTTGCTGGACACCCTCCCAACATTCCCTTCCGTCTCTCCTAACCTTAGTGTATGCCTTGCGAGTCTGGAAAAATCACCATTTTAAATGTTTTCTTTCTAGTACTATGTTACATATTAAGTGTTTCAGTATGGAAACTTATAAATAGAAAAGTGACCCATTATCTCACTGCTCTCAAAGCTAATTCTTTTTGACTTTTTCTTTTTTGAAATAAAATACAGGGTAAGAAAATTCAAGTACTACAGAAATCTAAACAGTGCACACAGTAAGTAGAAACTCCCCTTAGTTGGCTCAGGTCTTTCCCAAACTATATATATCACCAAGGAATTCCTGTCTTTTTTTTTTTTTTTTTTTATGAGACAGAGTCTCACTCTGTTTCCCGGGCTAGAGTGCCATGGCGCCAGCCTAGCTCACAGCAACCTCCAACTCCTGGGCTCAAGGGATCCTCCTGCCTTAGCCTCCCAAGTAGCTGGGACTACAGGCATGCGTCACCCTGCCCGGCTAATTTTTCTATATAAATTTAGTTGGCCAATTAATTCCTTTCTATTTTTAGTAGAGATGGGGTCTCCCTCTTGCTCAGGCTGGTCTCTATCTCCTGAGCTCAAATGATCCTCCCACCTCAGCCTCCCAGAGTGCTAGGATTACAGGCATGAGCCACCACGCCTATTTCCAGTTCTTTAATGAAAAACAGTACTGAATATCTTCTCTGTATTGTTCCAATTTCAGTATATGTGCTGCCAAAGTGAGCACAGTGCTGAGTATCTTAAACATACATCTAGAATGTTTTTGTGAGTATATCCATAGAGTAAATACCTAGTCAGAGAATCACTAGGAATTATCATGCTACTCCCCATTTTAACATCCTTTTATCTTCCCCCACCCCACTGCAGTTAGAATAAAGTCCAAATACACAATATCCTGGTTTACCAGAGGCCAAGACCTGGCCCCTGCCCATCTCCAGCTTCATTTTCTATCTATTACTCTTGCGTTATGGCCTCAAGCCACACCACCCTTTTGTCCTTAATCCTGCAAACTCATTCTTTACCTAGGGGCGTTTGTCCTTGCTCTTTCTTCTTTGTAATACTCAGATTGCAGTGATTACAGAAGACTTTTTGTAAAGTCTTCCAGGTTTAAAGGAGAACTCCCAGCCCTTCTTGTCTTGCTGTTTTATTGTAAACCTGGCATTTCATCCCCTAAGAAATTATATTGTCTGCCCTTCTAAATATGAGCTCCAAGTGAGCAAGAGCCCTGTTTGTCTTCTTCCTCACTGAGTCCCAAGAGCTCCGATGAGTAAGTACTCAAGGAATATCTGGTGAATGAATGGTGTAGATTTAAAATTATCAAATATGCCAGCCCCGTGTAGTCCCAGCTACTCAGGAGGCTGAGGCGAGAGGATCCCAAGAGCCCAGGAGTTCAAGTCCAGTCTGGGCCATACAGGGAGACTCATCTCTCAAAAAAACAAATAATAAAAAAAAAAAATAGGCTGACTGTGATGGTTTAGGCCTGTAATCCCAGCACTTTGGGAGGCCGAGGCGGGAGGATCACTTTAGGCCAAGAGTTCGAGACTAGCCTGAGCAACATAGTGAGACCCTATGTCTAAAAACCTTAGCCAGGCTTGGTGTCCCATACCTGAAGTCCCAGCTACACAGGAGGCTATGGTGGGAGGATTGCTTGAACCCAGGGGTTGGAGTGAGCTGAACTGAGCTAGGATTATGCCGTTGCACCCTAGTCTAGGCAACAGAGCAAGACCCTGTCTCTAAAAGTAAATGAATAAATGAATGACTGAATAAAAAAATAAAATTACCATACAGGCTGCCAAATTGCTTTCAGATAGTCACCAGTTTTCACTGCCACTGACAGTGCTTGTTTTGAATACCCTCCTTAGCACTTAGTACCATCCAGCATTTATTTTGATCGTAATTGTCCTCTTTAAAGGTCAAGAAAAAGGGAGTATATTTCACCCATTTTGGAGTAATTTTTCTTAACACATGGTGAAATTGAAGCCTTTTTAGACAAAAATAAGACTTATCCTTGCAACCTTTCCTGGATTTTGTTCACTCTTCACTACTTTCTCACGTCCCTGTTTTTTTGTTGTTGTTTGTTTTTGAGACAGAGTCTCACTCCGCTACCCGGGCTAGAGTGCCATGGAGTCAGCCTAGATCACAGCAACCTCAGACTCCTGGGCTCAAGCGATCCTTCTGTCTTATCCACCTGAGTAGCTGGGACTCCAGGCATGCGCCACCATGCCTGGCTTAATTTTTTCTGTATATTTTTAGTTGGCCAATTAATTTCTTTCTATTTTTAGTAGAGATGGGTCTCACTCTTGCTCAGGCTGGTTTTGAACTCCTGACCTTGAGCGATCCTCCCGCCTTGGCCTCCCAGAGTGCTAGGATTACAGGTGTGTGCCCCTATGCCTGGACCCTGTTTTTTTTTTTTTTTCCTCATTTATTTAATCAACCATTCACTTTCCAAATATTGATCACTCACACTGCCAGCGGCTCTGCTAATAATCCTTCTCTCACATTTGGTCACACCACCTTCCAGGACAATGCTGCCAAGTATTCTAGCCTGGCCCTTACCTTCAGATTCCCTCAGACTTGCCCTGCAGACATTTCTGGAACAGCAACCTTTAGCCAGAGAGAGACAGTCCATAGGGAGACTTTTTGTGAGCATCAACTTATATATAATTTGCTGATTGTCAATCAGTCTAGCCCTTAGATTTATGTGATATTGTACTGGATTTTTAAAAATTTTCCCCTTTCTTCCTTCTTTACAGAGGTGTTTCTCCCAGTTCCCACTTTTCAAGGGTTAGAGGCACCTCATCAATGAAAATATCTTCTCTGTAGACTATGGGGGAGAAGCTCCCAGAAAGGGAATTTTCTTTCTGGTCCTAATGTCCACCAATTTTAAAAGCATGTGCTCCTTATTATATTTTAAGTTTACAACGACATCATTAGATACCTCAATGACTCATATTTCATTTTTCTTACTTTTTGAAGGAAGTGAGTGAAGGAACTGAAGGGGTAGAAGTGGTTCTTCCCCTGGGAAAAGAAAGAGGGGTGTGTTACCTCCCTCCAGCACTCCCTTTCTCCGTCTCTCTAGGGTTCTGGCAAAGGCTAGGAGCCTAATAGGGAGCCTGCTTGGAAGCTGAGGTTAAAGCAACGTAGCTGTGAGGCTGGGGCTCAGTAGGGTCAACATTACATTCGGCTCTCTCCTCAACCACGATACTGTTCAATCTGCAAGTATAATCAATGAAGCAAAATTCCTCATGCATAAAGTCTGTGCATTGGACCAATTGGTCCAGTTCTCCTATCTGTTCATTTCCTTACCCCCTTTGTCTCTGTTCATGAAGTCTCCTTTTCCCAGTACCCAAACCCTTCTCCCTGCCCTCCCCGCCACTTCCGGCTACTAGCCTCTCTGGGCTCTCCACCATCCTCATCCTCGGCGTCCCCCGTCCGCACTAGATGGAGCAGCTCCGCGGGGCCGGGCCTGGGTTGGTTTGGATCCAAGCTAGAGCCCCGGGGCGGGGGAGGGGTGGTCCCGGAGGGCTGGCGCGGAGATGGGGAGCGCATTCCCTGCGCTTGTGATCTCAATGCAAATTTGCCCAGAGTTCTCTTGCGAGAGAGCTGGCAGGTCTCCCTATTTCCCAATCGCTCGCTCGCCAGCTCCCGGGGCCACGCGCCTCCGGGCTGCGCCCCGCACGCTGCAACTTCATTCAAAGGCCGGGCGAGGCGGCCAGCGAGGCTGGGATTGGGGGATGTGGGTGACCTCCGGGCCACTTCCTCCTCCTCCGCGCCCTTCCTCCACTCCTCCAGCCACCTTCGCCTAAACAAAACTGTCCCCAGGGCGGGGAGAGGTCTCGCTCCGGCGCGCACTCTCTCGCAAAGGGTTAATTTTGCAATCGCACGAGGGGGAGGAGATTTCCCTGTAGACGAGTAAAAAGGGTGATGGACAAACGTGCAGGCACTAAGACCGCAAGGCATTCATTCCCTCCCACGGTGGATGCGGACGCCGGGAGGAGCGGAGCCCGGAGCGAGGAGCTGGGAGCCGCGGCGCAGGCAATGCTCGGCCCTGCATGTAGCTGAGAGGCTGGGACAGACCGACCGCCGAGCCCGAGCGGCCAGGGGAAGACCGGGGGGCGGGCGGGGACGCGGACAGGAGAGCCCTCGAAATCAAGCGCTTTACAGATTATTTTATTTTGTGTAGAGAACACGCAGCGACTCCGAAGATCAGCCCCAATGAACATGTCAGTGTTGACTTTACAAGAATACGAATTCGAGAAGCAGTTCAACGAGAATGAAGCCATCCAGTGGATGCAGGAAAACTGGTAAGTGATGCTTTCGCCGAGCCTGCTCCCCCGAGCCCTGCGCGTCCCCGGGGCGCCCCCATGTCGGTGGTGCCCGTGCGCGGGGCGCGGGCCCGCCGGCTTCCCGGCTCTCCGGGGCGGAGGCACCGGGGCTGCATGGACGCTCGCGGTCGGTGGGTGCTCCGCGTGAACCGCGGCTGCACAGGCGTCTCCTATGTAGATTATATAACACAGAACATATATGTGTGCACGGAGGGGTGTCTGCGCGCCGGGAAGGCGGGAGGGATGCCCCCGTCCGGACACCCTACCTTTGCTACCTCCCGGCTTTTCATCTAGATTGGGGTTTTCTTGCGTGGCCTCCCACAACCGGAGTGTGGAGGGCAGAGGAGGGGGGACCCCGGCTCCTGCTCCCTTTAACCCTCTCCCGCCCGTCGCCCGGCGCTGGTCCTCGCCCTCTCCCCATCCCTCGTGTCCTTCCTTTCTCCTTGCAGCTCCCCCGCCTCGCTGTCCTCCTCTGTGCGCCGCTCCCCGGCCGGGCGCCCCCTTTCCGGGACCCCGGTCCCCACGCGGATCCCTTTCCGGTTTCATAAAGAGACGGAGTGGGAGGGCGGAGAGGAGGGACAATGAGAACTGCAATAAATGAATGAACCCGGGCGAGTGGAGCCACGCCATTATTAAGTTTCTGTTTTACGGAAACGCCTTTTGGCCGCACTCTTGCAGGCGGCGCGCGGCTGCCGCCGAGCTCGGCACACCCTCCGGGGCTCCGGCCGGTGGCTCGCGGTCGGCGATGCCTTTCTCGTTTACTGCGCCCCTCCGCCAGCCCTTCAGAAAACCCCCGTGTGAGGGGCGATCCGGTGTCACCTTGCGGCATTTAACAGGGCCGGGGGTGCTCGTCTCGCCTCTTCCTCGTAGACGGAGCGGTGGCAGAGACATCCATCCCCTCCTAGCCGCGGCCTGGCGACCGGCGGAGGGCAAGCCCAGCGCCACCCGGAGCGGGCGGTGGCCGGCGGCTCGCGCGGGGCGGGTCCGGCCGGAGGGGCTCCTGGCGCGCGCCCGCGCCCTGCCCGCCCTCGCTCGCATCCTTGGGAGTCGGGGACCGGAGGGTTGGCGCAGTGGGAGGGGACGCCGCGGGCCGGCGCCGGGCGGAGGGGCAGCTTCCTCTGCGGCCCCCGCCTCCTCCCGCGCGGCCGGCGCGTGCTCGCCCGGGTCCGCCCGCCCGGCCCCGACCGTCTGCGGCGGCGCCGGCCTGGGCCGCGGCCGGAGGGCCGCCTGCTCGCGCCGGCGGCGGCGTGGCGGGTGGCGGCGGCGGGGCGGCTGGGAGGACGGGAAGTGCGGCGGGCACGTGGCGCGCGGGGCTGGTGCCCGCCGGGGCCGCGAGCGCGAGGGGAGGGTCCCGGTCCCGGGAGACTAGGCTTGGAGAGGCCTCGGCGTTTCGGGGGAGCCGAGCCCCGCGCCGCTGCCCGGTCCTCCAGGCGCACTTCCTCCCCCGCGAGCGGTGGCGCAGGGGCGGGCAGGGGGCGGTGGCCCGAGCCGGCCGGCGCCGGAGCCGCACAGCTGGCCGGCGCGGGCTCGGGGTGCCCTGCAGCTGCCTGTCACATCCTCGCCCCGCCGGCCCGCCCCGCCTCCCCGCCGGCCGGCTCTCCCCGTCCTCGCGTCCGCGCCGCCCCAGCCGGCTGCGCCCGGCCCAACCTGCCTCGCCGGGGCCCGCCCGCCGGCTCCGCGCTGACCCCATTCACTGCCTGCGCCGCCGCGGCTGCCGCTGCCGCCTGTTTACTCGGTGCCTTTCCTCGGGGGCGGCTCCTGTGCCTGCTCCAGGTGCCATGTCCCGCCTCTTCTCTCCATTCAGTGAGTACTCACTGAGCCAGGCGCTTCTAGCTCGCAGGGGACCGAAAATGGCCAAAATGCGCCAACTTATCTTCCACTGAGCGCTGACCCCTTTCCTCTTAGCTCTTTATCTGACCATTCTTCCAGCAATATTTTCTCCTGGCTTCTATTTGGGCATTTACACATAGACCACAGCTCTTTGGGGCACGGTTCTTGTCTTACTCCACTCTGGATTTTGCAAAGCGCCTGGCCGAGTGCTTTATACCTGGCAGGTACTTGGGAAACCGCGTGTCCAGTCAGTAAAAAGGTTGATCGGTGCCCATTTTATCGCCAGCACTACTGATTAATGTCAGGTTCAACATGCTTGGCCTACCCCCTGCGTTTTGAATACCGTGTGTCACATCTTGAGATTTTTTTCCCTGGCTTCTGCTCTCCGTTGACCTTCTGTGCTTGGATCGCATGCAGTGGTCAGATGGCGCCGCAGGCGGTTGGTTATTCCCTCCTTGAGACCCTAATCGCCTTGCTTTCATCCCAGACTGTGCATTTCTTCCACTCTCCGAGGGCCCAATTTCATATATTGCCCCCCCCCCAAAAAAGACCCTACAGCCAGAGTCTTGAACAAGATTTTCATTTCATTCACTTATTTGTTAACTCCATAACCCAAGGCTTGGACCCTCTTGAGGAGAGGACGAAAATCTTAAGCCTTTTCCAGACTCATTAACATAAAATGGTTTGAAGTAGCTTGTGGCGGAAAAACACAATGTAGTGAAGATTCTTCTCTTTCAAGAATTTATTTGTAGTTGTCTTAAAAAAGGTCTTAGTATCAAGCAAAACTTAAGAATTTAGGGGTGCTTTTTATAAAAAAATGAGCTGTGCTGGCTTTGGAAGAATTGTGAGGAGAGGGCCAGGAGTGGTGTTTGGCCAGTGTGCTGTCTGCACTGACTAGCATCATTTAAGAGGACCCCAAATAAGGAGAGTTTATTAAACGTACCCCACATTCCATAGTTAACCATAGCACAAACTAATGGGTTGGGGCCCCACTTTTGGACTGGAGTTTGTGTAAACACTGAAGGGTTCAACTGAGGCTAATTTATCAAGTTTATCGCTGCTTTAGTGAATGAGGAACCTGCTACTCATTGATCTAGACGTGAAATACTGTAGACTTTCCCCTTTCTGGCATGGTTCCGTGTATTATAGGTTAGAATAACAACTGAAGTACAAAGTAATAAGTATCTTCCTCTGGAGAGGCATCCTGAGCCTCATCTTGAAACTACGCGTCCAGTTAAACATCTCCTGAGTAATGTTATCTGGTAGATGAGAGTTTATTCCGTGAGGTGGAGGAAAATGTCTGCTTTTGCCTCCAAATAGCGTTTTTAAGTCCCAGTTTGACACTGAAAAGCTCTTGTGATTCGACAACACTGAAAATAGAGACATTTTGTTCTTTTATGAGCTGTCTGGCCTTTACCTGCTATTCCTAGCAGCAGCTGGCTTCATTTGGAAGCGCTTTTCTAGTGAGGAGCAGAATCACCTAGTGCTGGGACAGGCGACATAAAGCCCCCGAGCGGAGGGAAGCCAGCTCCGCCGCCGTCCCCTCAGCGGCCGCCGGCTCGGGCCGCGGCGGCGGCGCCGCGCTCTGCTCGCCGCGTCTGGCCAATGGCGGCTGTCTTCTGATGTCGGCTGACGCGGGCCGCGCCAATGGGAGCGCGGCAGGCCTGTGCTGACCGCGGCCGCCGCCGCCCGCCGGGTGACGTCAGCAGGGCTCGCCCGGGCCCTCGCGGAGCCCCTCCCGGCGCGGCGGCCGGCCTCCCGGCGCTTGGCGCGTTTTGCTAACTTTATCCCCTCTCCCCGCGGTGGTGGTTATAAAAGGATTTCATTGTTTTTATGTGTTTTGCATTCTGTGTATTAGAGTCTATAGGATAGGTTAGGAATCTTTAGAATTATATGCTGTCCAGCTGAAGAAATCTTTTTAGTCACAAATTTGTTTTTTACCGAAGGAGGAAAAAATGGAATGAAAGACTTTAAAAGAAAATTGTCCCGCTGTATGTTGTTTCCTATATGTGAGGTTTGGAAAGTAACAGTGTACAATTTCAGGATTACAGAACACAAAAGAGCGTTGCAAACCCCTATTAGTATTTTACTTAAAATATAGCAGCATAATGTTAATGGAACTTTTCAAATGCAGACATAGTAGTCAGCTGTTGTTTCCCCCCTAGTGAAGATTGCTTTGAATTACTCCCTGAAATCTTCCTTGTGACCTTCTGGGTGCATTTGTAAGAAAAATGGCTGGAAGACAGTACGGTCTGTGGCCGTGGAACACAGCAGGCAGTTTCATTTGATCATTAATATTACTATACATACAAATTTGGTCAGCTCTTTAGGAAAACACTGTGTCTGTATTTTTTTTTTTTTTTTAGACAGAGTCTCACTCTGTTGCCCCCCCGCACTAGCCGTGGCATCAGCCTACCTCACAGCAACCTCAGACTTCTGGGCTCAAGGGATCCTCCTGCCTCAGCCTCCTGAGTAGCTGGGACTACAGGCGTGCGCCACCATTCCTGGATCATATTTTTTTCCTATATTTTTAGTTGGCCAATTAATTTCTATTTTTAGTAGAGACAGGCTCTCGCTCTTGTTCAGGCTTGTTTCGAACTCCTGACCTTGAGCGATCCACCCACCTCAGCCTCCCAGAGTGCTAGGATTACAGACGGGAGCCACTGCGCCTGGCCTGCTGTGTCTGTATTTTACTCATGTTGTTTGCTATTTATTTTGGAGAATCACAGTTCATATTAACTTTAGGACTGAAAAATCCTAAATGTGAGAAACTAAACATGTCATCCAATAACCTCAGAAAGCGCTAGGATATAGCTGTATTATGCATTAGGTTAAGAGTGAGAAGGGTGAGAAAATGTATATAGAAGAAAAATGTGGTCTGTTTTGGTCCTAGAAAATAATGAAAAGTTGTGCTAGAACTTTGATCTGAACTCTCATGTATCTTTTAAGAAATGATAAATATTCATGCAATCCTTGTTTGTTTAGGATTCCCAAGGATGAAAGCCAACTTAATGCAAATTGCTTTATGATTGTATTATCCATCTATAAATTTTGTGTTAATTATAAATAGTATAGGCCATAAAATTTTTCAAAAGTGCTTTTGTTAAATTGGAAGCTAAATTTTGTGGTCTCCAGAAGATTACCTGTTGCTTTCATGTTTGATAATAATGATTCTAAAAGTGTCAAGATACAGCATTGGAATTTAACTACAAAGTCAACCCACTCCATAGCTTTACATATTTTCTTGAAAGAAGAGTCAATCAGCTTAGATAATGGAGAAGCTATAAGGTGAATGGAGACTTAGAAATACTTAAGAGGGTATAAAATAACTAGTTAGTTTTTAGCCAACAAAGGAGAATGAAGTGTGGCAAGATTCTGGCAGTTCAAGAATTTATCTTTGCTTCAGCGATCTGGAATATTTCAGGTCCAAATATTTTCTGAAATGAGTTATCCAAACATTGTCTTGACTCAGTTGTTCACGCATGGACACAGGTGAGCTGAACTTTCCTCTGGTGATAGGAACCAGGCATCAGCCCACCAAACTTGCCTCAGCTCTACAGTTGCTTCCTACCTATACTAGTCCCTATATTCAAACCCACCTGCTCCCATTGTTTCCTTTCCATTTACTTTTGTTAGAAGAGCTTAGGTATTTATGCAGAGAAGTTACCTATGGGCCGGGCACAGCGGTGGCTCATGCCTGTAATCCTAGCACTCTGTGAGGCCAAGGGGGGCGAATTGCTGGAGGTCAGGAGTTCGAAACCAGTCTGAGGAACAGTGAGACCCCCGTCTCTACTAAAAATAGAAAGAAATTAATTGGCCAACTAATATATATACAAAAATTAGCCGGGCATGGTGGCGCATGCCTGTAGTCCCAGCTACTGGGGCTGGGGGGGAGGGTTGGGCTGAGGCAGGAGGATCGCTTGAACCCAGGAGTTGGAGGTTGCTGTGAGCTAGGCTGATGCCACTGAACTCTAGCCCAGGCAACAGAGTGAGACTCTGTCTCAAAAAAGAAACGAAAAGTTGCCTATGCTGCATATATTATTTCATTGATAATCATAGGAGATCTGAGTTAAAATATAACATGGCTTTAATGTAATGTTAAGGCTCATGACGTCATTCCTTTATTCTGGTTGTTCGTATGTGTATACAGGCAGCTACAAATGCTGGCACAGTTATTCAGGTTTCAGAGAATGTTTGAAAAACAGCATCTCTAATTATATTTCACCTCCAATAATTTATTTTAGAAATAGATGAGTCCTTTCTTTAAAAGTATTGCCTGAGAGTAAAGAATTTGTAATTTTAAATCGGTTGTGCAAGAGTCATCCCAGAGCACGAGACCGTGTAAGTCATCTAAGTTTAAGCTTGTGTATTTATCATGACTCATTTCTACACTGAGCAGTCATGGTTTTTAGTTTCAAGGTTCTTTATTCCTAGTCTGCTGGAATAACATGTGCTTTCTTTTTGTGTGTGTGAGACAGAGTCTCACTTCATTGCCCAGGCTAGAGTGCCATGTTGTCAGCCTAGCTCACAGCAGCCTCAAACCCCTGGGCACAAGTGATCCTCCTGCCTCAGTCTCCTGAGTAGCTGGGACTACAGGCTCACACCACCACGCCTGGCTAATTTCTCTATTTTTAGTAGAGACCCGGTCTTGCTCTTGCTCAGGCTGGTCCCTAACTCCTGACTTCAAGTGATTCTCTGGCCTTGGCCTCCCATGGTGCTAGGATTACAGGTGTGAGCCACCATGCCAGGCCAAATGACAAGTACTTTTAGGAAACTGACTTTTTTTGGTCAGTCACCCAGTCTGAATTTTTCGAAATTTAACTTTAAGCCTTTGCTTTGTACAAGAGAAAAATATTTACAATTATTTTGCTGAAAAAAAATTAGATAAAATTTGCTGAGATAAATTAAGCATGCTGATTGGAAGGAATTTTTCTGCATAGACAGTCACTTATAGTTTGCTAATATTAATACTTCCATTACCTTCAGGGTTTTAGTTTTTTTTTTTTCCTTTCAAAAGTTTTTATAGAAGAGTTCCTAATTGCAACATGATAAAGAGAATGATGTAAAATATTTTGAGGCTGTTGCTGACAGTCATCCTAAAAAAAGAAAAAGAAGAAAATAATAAAAAAAAATATTTTGAGGACAGAGACCCTTCCCCAAGCATATACCAGAATTATGGATTACAGGTTGCTAGGTTTACAGGTGTGAGCCACTGCCCCTGGCCCCTTTTAAGTTTTGGTGCTGAATTTCTGAATTGACTATTTGTTACCTTTTAGTGGACAGCACGAGATCATTTTCTGAAGACTCAAAAGATCAATGAGATGAGTGTTTACCATTTATCTTTGTGAGGAGAGTACACGCATTTACCTAGAAGAGTATATGTACATGTAGTGTGTATATATGTACATATAGATAAACATATTAAAAGTGACTTTGGCCAGGTGGGCTGGCTCATGCATGTAGTCCCAGCACTTTGGGAGGCTGAGGTGGGAGGATGGTTTGCGCCCAGCAGTTTTTGCAGTGAAATGTGATGGTGCCACTGCCCTCCAGTCTGGGTGACAAAACAAAACCCTGTCTCAACACAAACAGACAAACAAAAATGCTTCAGTACGGTTAGTAATAGCTGAAATCGTCATGTTTTGCTGTGTTTTAGGCCCAGTTGTTTAGTTCCATCTATTCATGAGGGTAATGTGCAATACAATGTAAAAGGTTTTAAGCTGCTAGGCCCACCCCAACTGGAGTACTTGACTATTACAGGTGAAATGAGTTCAGTGCAGTTGAATGCTTTGAAGTTGAGAATTTCATGGTCTTGTTTTTGGCAGCTTACTGGAAAAAAAGGCCTCATGAAAAGGTTTACTCCTGAAACTTTAAAAAACAAATCTGAGACTTCTGTTGAAGTCTGTGGGTGCCTTAAACATTTAAGAGCTGGACTAGCAGTGGTTAGCCTCATAATAAGAGGGTAAGAAGGTCAATAAAAGGTATTTTACACTGGGCGTGGTGGCTATGCCTATAATCCTAGCAGTCTGGAAGGCTGAGGCAGGAGGATCCCTCAAGATCAGGAGTTTGAGACCAGCCTGAGCAAGAGTGAGACCCCCGTCTCTACTAAAAATAGAAAGAAATTACTGGACAACTAAAAATATATATATAAAAAATGAGCTGGGCATGGTGGCACATGCCTGTAGTCCCAGCTACTCAGGAGGCTGAGGCAGGAGGATCGCTTGAGCCCAGGAGTTTGAGGCTGCTGTGAGCTAGGCTGATGCCATAGCACTCTAGCCCAGGCAACAGAGTGAGACTCTGTCTCAAAAAAAAAAAGTATTTTAGAGGAAAACAGTATCCTAAACATCAAGTTCTACAGTTCCCTTTCAATTATATAATTTTTTGATACAGACTTGAAGATCTTAGAAGGTAGGGTAGATTTTCTTCATTCTGGAGCAATGATATTACTAGTTGATACTTACACAGTTACTGAATCCAGTTATTCTTTTAAAATGTTCTACACACATGCAACTGTTAAATCCTCATAACCTCCCCTCGCGCCCTCTTTTGAGCAATGGAAGACTCCAGCACATTGTGGCTAACCGGTTGGGACT